TGTTTGAAGGAGATGAGGCAGGTGCGGTTGGTGCAGGTTCCCTCTGGGAAGATGATGATCTGTGGCCACTGACCGCCAGACTGACCTCGGCGCTGGATCTCCTTGATGGTGTTGACCCGCGAGTTGGGGTCCTCCCTCTTGACCAGGACGGGCTGGGAGAACTCAATCAGAGCTTGGTGGGGGATATACAGGGGCTGGTTTTAGTATGAGTTTTAAAGCACTTGCAATACGATGCGGTCATATATAACTGTTGAAGATTAGAGGTGTGACTAAAGAGAAACATACAAAGAATAGAAGTGTGATTTTTTTTTGGAGAGCTAGTGTGCGTGCCTGAGTTTCCCTGTGGATGCTTATGAGAGAGTGAAAGACTGACTTTGTGTGTGAATGTGTGTGTGTACGTGTGTGTGTGTGTGTGCGTGTGTGTGTGTGAGTGTGTGTGTGTGTGTTTGTGTGTATATTTATGTGGGTGTGTATATGTACCTATATGTGTGTACCTATGTGAGTGTGTATGTTTGTGCACAAGTGTGGGGATATATATGTGTATGTTAAGGTCATGTAAGTGCCATGTGTTAATGTGTGTATGTATATAACTATGTATGTGTGCAAGTTAACATGTTGTGAGTATGTACTTATGTGTGCGTCTGTTTTGGACATCTCAAAGCTCAGAGCAATTCTAGCTATATGAGGAAAAGCTGAGCTATCAGAGCGATATGCTGCAGCAAATTTTGTAAAAAACAGATAAATTAAAAAATGACTTTTATAGATTTGTTCAAACCTTTTAAGTTCTACTTACAAGCTATGGTCAAGGCAAGTGAAACAGACACACAAAAAATACTTAGATAAAACCATTAACGTCACATATCTATCTATGCATTTATATACCTGACTGTCGGTCGTCTGTCTGCCTATCTATTCATGAAAGTAAAGATCTTTGAGCTCTATACAATCATACCCTATCCTACACAAACATAGACACAGTGTAGAAATCATGCAAATCCAAGTTGTCATATACAACAATACACATAACAATAAATATACTGGAACTAACAACAGAAAGGTTTTTACAGGTTTACACCTAAGAAAAATTGTAACTAAAATTATAAGGACAATAACAATAAAAACAATAATAACAATAAAAAAGTAATAATAATAATAATAATAATCATGATGATGATGACGATGATAATGATGCTAATAACAATAAATGAATAAAGACTATAAAAACATGAGAACATTATGGCGTGTGTGCCTGCGCACCACACACACACACACACACAAATAAGCATATAATGCTATGCAAGAGTGGTGAGGTCAGAATTGGGTGGTTGCCATGAGAGAAACAAAGCCATTTGTGATTGTTTGTGCACAGATGGACAGACAGACACACACACAGACAAAAAGACACACAAGGTGAAGAGGAAACTCATTAGAACAGAACCACAGCAAAGAACTTTCAGTACTTTCACAGCCCTTCACACGACAGTTGGTAGAAAAGTTCAACAATAGGAACAAGAGAAAAAACTGTGAGCTGCTGTTGAAACCGAGAGAATGAGAGAGTAAATTTCAGAAAAACACCAGGGTCAAAATGGCATGACAGAAAACAGGAGAGAAACAAAGAAGGCCCCTACTCATAAAGTGAACTGGTCACAGCATGCTATGTCAAATATCCAGGCCACATACACTGAAAAGCTCTTTAAAAAAAAACAACACCCCCCCTCCCAAAAAAACACCACTCGAACATAGAAAGAATCAATTAACTAAACTGTGCCAAGCATTAAACGAAAAAGTAAACAAAAAATATATGTAAAAAGAATTTTAAAAGAAATATATCATTAGACATACTGAGAAAAACAGCTTTCTAGACCTTCAGTAAACAAAAAGTCAGAATGTTGTGAGGGGATAAAACAAGAACTAATTAACTAAATTAAGCACAATACAAAGTACAGTTATTTACATTTTTCGTTAAAAAGAAGGGGTGTTTTTTTTCGTTTTGTTTTCAAACTAACTGACACGCGGGTGCTAAAGAAAAATAATTACAATAATAGAAACTGCTATGACTATAAATCTAGCAGGAAGAAAATGTTGCCTAACATGTAAATATTGCAAAGTTCATGCATGTCAATGACATACGAGGTGCCAAGTAAGTGATGCTTTCTGGTCATCATGCATGTGAGTGACATGGTACAATGTAAATCATGCTTTCCCATCACACGAGAAAACATTTCTCATATAAATAAATAAATAGATAAATGAATAAATAAATTTTTAAAATACAAAAATGTGTTTTTACATTCCCACCAACACAAATTAGGAAGTGGTCTTCCAAACCTGCCTCTTATGGCTAATCCGGACTGAGAGGGATACAACAATCTAGCAGAAAGACCCAAATACACGATGAATATTTTACCCCACTAAGGAGTCAAACCCAGGTTTCCTGCGTGCGACCACAAAAAACACCAGACAGAGAAAGAAAGAGGGAGAGAGAGAGAGGGAGAGAGAGAAAGAGGGAGAGAGAGAAAGAGGGAGAGAGAGAAAGAGAAAGAGAGAGAGAGAGAGAGAGAGAGAGAGAGGGGAGAGAGAGAAAGAGGGGAGAGAGAGAAAGAGGGGAGGGGGGGGTATAAGGCGTCGATATGTACACAGGGTTCCCACAAAAACCGTTCGCGCAGAAAAATCAATGAAGCGGGGAGGACAGACAGACGGACAGACAAAGTGACACATAAACAATCAATCGTTCACTCAACAGGATATGGGTGTCATTCACACGGAAACGGGAGATAAATAGAGGGGACCATCGCTTAAGTGTTTGTGTGTGTGAAAAAGTGTGTGTGTAAGTGTGTGTGTGGGTGTGTATAAGGGGGGGGGGGGGGGGGGGGGGGGGGGGGGGGGGGGGGGGGGGGGGGGGGGGGGGGGGGGAAAGGAGGGGGGAAGGGGAGAAGAGAAGGCAGGGCGCATGTTGTCTATGCGCATTACCTTAGTGTTACATTGCGGGAATAGGCACCTGTCATCTCAGTAGTAATGACACAAGTGCAGTTTCCCCCATCATTAGGAGCCCTGTGCCTTAAGGTTTGTGGAGAGATGAATGAGTCTATACGTAAGGTGTGTGTGTATGTGTGTGAGGGGGGGGGG